GTTTTTGTTTACATTATATATGTATGTGTACTGTGTATATTTATTATGTATATATAAATACACACACACACATACAGTATATATATTTAAAATATTTACATGTTTATACATTTATATTCTTATATTTTATATTAAATATAAATATATTTAATATATAAACATAACATATTTTTCTTAAATATATACATGCATGTGTTTGTATTTATAATAAATATACACAGAATACACACATATATTTTGTAAACAAAAACGTTTATTTTGGATGTGATTAATCGCGATTAATCGTTTGACAGTACTAAATATTATAAATGAATTCTGTTTCAATTAAATGCTGTTCTTTTGACCTTTCTAGTCATCAAATAATCCTGAAAAAAATTTATTAGGGTTTCCAAAAAATATTAGGTAATATAACTTTTTTAACATTAATAATAATAATAAGTGTTTCTTTGGCAGCAGATCATCATATTAGAATGATTTCTGAAGGATCATGTGACACTGAAGACTGGCTTAATGATGCTGAAAATTCAGCTTTGCCATCATAGGCTTAAATTACATTTTAAAATATATTAAAGTGGTAAAAGAAATTACACATTAAAATAGTAAAAAAAAAAAAAAGTAATAATATTCACAATATTGTTGTTTTTACGAAATATATGTATATTTTATTTTACTGTATATTACATTATAAAAAAATATAATTAAATATAATTTATTCATCTGTCATTCTTGATTTTATTTTTACTGACACTATACTATTTATTCACACATAAATTACTTCTCTTAAAATAAAATACAATACAAAAGATATTTATTACTTTATCTTACATTAATTTTTTCTTGCATTTAAGTGGTTTTATTGTTAGCATTACAATATTTGTGAGATAAGTAGTAAACAGTTCTAGCGCTTTTGTTTATTAGCAGCATATATCCTCTGTAGGTAGATGGCTTGGCACAGTCAAATGTACTGGGAAACATTTCAAAGCCATTTGTCCATGTGTGGCAAAAATCAGCAGAGGATAAAACACAAATATAGCACTCGGCAGCTCAAAGGGATCCAGCTGACATGCTAACTTTTCCCCTGTGTTTAATTAACACTTATTTTAGACTTCACTTTACAAACACCTGCTGGTTAAAGATAAACAGATTGAACATGAACACAAAAATGTACACACTCAAATTTAAATGTTGCACAATTTAATTGCTGTCTCATTGAACTGAACAAAAGTATGTCCTATCCTTCTGCTAAGTTTGAGAATACATTGTAGTACATAACTGAAATGCAGTCTCGCAAACCTTTATCTCTCAACACCAAATCAGTCAATGGAGTATCCTTAGTTTGTGCATCAACCAAACTGATCCACGGAAAAAGGCTGTAAAACAACAGAGACAAACTATTATAACCGTATAAAGCAAGGTTGAGTAATAGTCGTAATTCATTTTGAACATCTACAATAAGACTCACTCATCAGGGTTATTGAGATCAGATGCACTGGGTGAATTTACAAGACTGTGATAAGTGAATGTGTTTGTCTCAAACAGCCCGTTTAGCAGCCGAAGAGTCTTTCCGGAGCCCAGCTTCTGAGCCGTGCACATGTTGAGGAGACTGTAGAGCACAGCAGATATCCATCTCTGATCCAGGAAGAGGCCACCTTCAGCAAACAGTGCGAGTTTACTTAATGGGGTCTTATAGCTCACCGTACAAAAACCATATTGACTTCACATGACAGATGGATATAGACACATTTGGAAGGGAAATAAAATGCTTACTGTGTGTTTAAGCAGCTAGTTATAAAGTTGCAAGAAGAATCAAAATTAAAATAATTCCTACAAAAGATATTTGTGCATCTAAGATTAATCATGTTTCATTGAACTTTTTAAATCATTTGTCTAGAAAAAAACAAACATATGGCCTAGCTGCAATTACAGATTAAAAAATGATTCCTAGTGAATTTACACTACTGTTTAGAAGCAGTGTTGCCAAGTCTGTGGTTTTCCTGCGGAATTGGGCTACTTTAACACTGTAGCTCGGGTTGTTTTTCATGTCCGCGGGTTGAAGCAACCCCAATATGTGATATTTATTAGGGCTGCACGATTATGACAAAAATCATAATTGTCGATTATTCCTTTGAAATTGTAATTGCGATTATTCATTTACGATTAAATGAATCATGTTTACACCTTTGTTTGAAGCAACTGCATGCCATATTTTTATATGAAAATAAACAAGCTGAAAACACTAACTGAAAAACGTTTATTGCTTTTCTATAGTATTAAGCCTCAAATGTCAACTATATATTGGATTGGTTTCTCTTTAAATAAAAAGGTAGAAATATGAATGGTATTATAATGTTATACTAAAACTAAAATTAAAACAATGGAAAAACCCTTAAGATAACATGTAGAAAGAAAAAAAACATCTTAAGCATGCAGAATAACATAAGTGGACATAATTGCTGCTTTGAACAATTATGTAATTGTGGCATCCGTAATTGTAATTGCGATTAGAAATTCGATTAATTGTACAGCCCTAATATTTATCCCCTGGAATGTGAATTTTATCAAGGGAACCCCGTAGGAAAACTTGTATTTTACCCCCTGGAATTTTTACCCTCGAAACGTTTTGAGTAGCAATTGGGTGGGTTTTGTTGTGAAAACCTGGCAACCCTGTTTAGAAGTTTGGGGTTAATAAGATTTTTTAATTTTGTGGAACGAAGTCTCTTATGCTGTTTTGTAATAAAAACATTATTGTAATAAAAATAAAATAAAAAATATTTTGTAATAAAAATGTAATATATAATAAAAAATAAATATTGTAAAACATTACAATTTAAAATAACTGTTTTTTTTGTTTTAATATATTTTAAAATGTAATTCATTCCCGTGATGCAAAGCTGAATTTTCAGGATCATTACTACAGTCTTTAGTGTCACATGATCCTTTAGAAATCATTCCAGTATGCTGATTTGCTCAAGAAACATAAACAGAAAGTTCAAAATAACACCATTTATATTAAATAGATTTTTTTCTTGACTGTTGCTTTTGATCAATTTAGTGCATCCTTGATGAATAAAAGTATTAATTTCTTTAAAAAAAAATACTGACCCCAATTTTTTGTAGTCAATAATAATAATAATAATTATTATTATTATTATTATTATTATTTCTTCTTAGTTATTTTAATGTGTATAACAGTGACAGATGGATATTGACAAATTTTGAGAGGAAATAAAAATGTATTGTCAAAGATACATCTGCAATTTTCACACACCATTCATTGAAAGAGGAACTGAGGCTGAAATCACGTCCTTATCCTGTAAAGCTGCGGTCACCTGATCGTGAAGATGCCAAATTCTATTGACTTCATCACAAGCCACAAACTCATACTGGGGTTTGATAATAGAACTGTGGTCAAGGAGCACAGCAAGCCTGAAATTAAGAAGAAAAAAACTATAATAACCTAATATTTAGAGATAATAATAATAATAATCATAATTTTGTAGTAAAATAAAAATACTTAAAAAAGGAAAATAACTTAAAAAGTAATGTTTTATTGCCATTACTCCCTCAAAATTTCATTTGGAAGTATAATAAAAATTTGAGAGACAATCAATCAACAAACAGATAACAAAGCACAGATAGTTTTTCTTATTCCATAATAAATAACAGTGGGCTAATAATCTTAAGTATGTTGATCTGAATACCTGTTGAGTGGCACTGCTGAGGTGAAGCTGTACACCAGACAGCCTGAAGACAGATGGCAGCGGATGTCTGCGCAGACTTGAGCTAGTTGAGAGGGCAAGACACACAGGAACAGCATGTCTGCCCATTTAGCCAGTCTAATGTTGTCAAAGTAACATTCAACACCCATGTTTGAATATTCTCCTATGGGCCAATGAAAGAAAAGAGATTTTTTTAAATAAACTAATAGGTCTTGATGAAAATTCTGATTTATCTATTAAGGCATACGAGTGTAACACTCTCTGGTTTTCAGGAGCATTTTTATGATTCGTGAAGCATAAGAGTGGAAACTGCTCTTGACTGCATAATTACCATGACAAGTGGTCACATGCATGTGAACCTTCACATGGGTTTCTATAGTAACGCCGTGTGCATGATTATGCAGCTTTGATGGGCCTTCAAGGATACACACACTCACAAATATGTCCAGCCTGACCCAGTGATTTGAGGACTATCACAACGGATTGCTGTGAAATGACTGTTTCTACTGTATCTATGATCAAATAAATGCAGCCTTGGCAAGCAAGAGACTTTTGAACGGCAATCTAAATGCACTCAGAAGCAATTGTTTTAAAAACTGTAGAACTGCATCTGGCTGCATCTAGCCAATGTATTTTGTTTCCCAAATAAATTATTTAATAAGTGTCAAATGAAACATGATTAATCTGTTGCAATTGTTGCAATAATATTAATAATACTAGATAGATAGATAGATAGATAGATAGATAAGTTCTAAGACTTCAACATTTTTTTACAATTTTTCTGCTCACCAAGGCTGCATTTATTTGATCATAAATACAGTAAATACATTGTATGGGTCAAAATTATCGATTTTTCTTTTATGCCAA